CACCAATGGTGCTCTTTCAGGATAAAGAGGACATCGGGGTGAACAATAAAGATGTCTAAATAACACTTAATAACATGTAATGCAAAAAACACTTAATAACATGTAATACTTGGACGTAGACAACTTATTTAAACAATGAGGGGTAGGGGGTTATAAAGAGAAGGGTTTCACCAATCAGTCTCTTTACAATAAAACTTTTCAAGGCTCTGTACAATTACCTATCTCTTATGTATAGAGCTTTATTGCATGTTTTTATGGTTTCCACAATTTTTCTTTTGAGTGTTACTTATCCTATATCCAATACTTAGCTGTATTGTTCCCATTATGACTCATTTCAAGTAAAAAAAGGTAATAAACTTTAAATATACGGAGATTCAAACTTTTATGTGGGAGATATATATCTACGGCCCCATGTATAAGTACGTTCTACATTAGGGTGTGTCATATTTTTTAATTTTTTGTCACTACTACAAAAAGTTGCTATAATATGAAATTAATAAGAAAACGATGAAAATTTAAGCTTCCTTTAACACTTACGGAGACAACTTTTGTTTGAACTTTTTAAATAATGCTTTTCTAAATAGTTTGAACTCACCCATAATTCAAACGGAGTATTTCAAATTTTTTTTGAATTAAATTTATTCATATTTGGCATTGATCCTAATTTGTAACTTCATTTTTACTTTACTCATTTTTAATTCATTCGCTGTTCTATTGTATAAGGTTGGTAAACTATAATCGTACGTTTTAAATGTCAGTAAAGAAGCGTGTTAAAAATCACGCATTTTTTTACGATTACTTTCAATTTTTAATTTGGGATTGTCCATAAATTACACAACGCTAAATTTAACAAATAAAAAAAACAATTAAGATCAAAAAAGTTTTCCCTCGCAGAGTTTTTAATTAAACCAAAACTCAAAATATAGTTCTCTAAGTTCAATGAAAGGAGAAATGATTCATTTTTTTATTTTTTAAATAAAGTTTGCATTGCATAGTTTATGGACGATCCCTTTAATGACTATTGTCGCTAAGGAATTGTCATGGGAGTTTTAATTTGTATATATATTTAGGTTTTTATGGAATGAAAGTGATAAAATCACTAACTCTCAGATAGCTATTTTTTAATATATAATCGTAATAATACAACACTATTGTGAGTGTTGTGAATCCATATTGCAATATTAGTATTGCAATATGCTTGAACATATTTTGATTGTTAATATTAAAGTTTAACGCATTATAGGATTGTTTGAATGTTTGTGTACTGATTTGTGGGCTCTTGATATTTACAAGAAAACCAGGGTTTTCCCGAAGAGGCCTTCCATGGGGGGTGTATGTATTATACAATACTTGCAATTTGATAAATATAGTTTAAAACTTGCTCAATGTGCCCCCTTAAATGCATGTATGACAACTTTGTATGGTGGTACGCCCCTACACCCCCTCCTTCGGGACGGCCTTTAATAGAACAAGACAGTTTTTAATTTATTCATTTATTTTAAATGTGGGTTTTTCTTACCCTTTTTAAATTGCATAATGAACTCGAAGAAAAATTTATCCAGACCAAAAGTGACACAGAGCACTCATTATTTGGTCAATTTCCAGAAAGTCAATTGCCGACAAAAGCAGAAGTCTTTAAGCATTACCTATACATCTGACACGCAAAAATGTTCTCACAATCCTTAAACTTTAAAGAACTATCAATCAGAGATGTTAATAAGATAGTGGGTGATGATTTATTAAACATATGGTCGAGGGCAAGGTTGTCAACGATTTCATGTAACAGCATTCTGAAAAGCTTGGATAAATTGGTTACTAAAATAAAACCGTTGAAAAAATATGTTGATGAAAAGAGGAGTTCATCTACGTTTCAGTGCCAACTTGGTTCGTTAAATAAAGTAGTTAACATTTGTTTTTGCAAAAACGTTTATTGTGGTATCAGAGATTGGTCAAACTGCCATTATTTTATGAAAAGTTCTTTTAAAGGAGATTTTGGATAGATCAAAAGAGTAATCGTAAAATGAAATTCTATGTCCAGAATGACCTTGAAGAAACAGAACGGCTCCAGAAGCGGAAAACTCTTAAAGAACGGGAAACTCAGTTTAGAAAAAGAATGCTTCGTCATCGACAATAACTCGTGATGCAAGATGAATATTTGCTTACTACACGAGATTCAGAAAACAGCTCATGTAGTAGACATGATCCATAAATATCGCATGGAACAAACAGGAGTTAACAACCGAGATGCATTCAAAATTGTAAACGCTTGCCTAAAAGATATCTTATTTGATTCAACACAACACATATTGGATCCAGTAAAGTTAAGAAGACAAAGAAACCTGTAGCGATAAAAAATGTTAAAGAAAATTGGCCACAGAAATTATTGGATTCGATTTTGATGGCCGTTCAGACAAACTCTAAGTTTAGTGGAACAAAGCGATGGTAAAGTTAGCTGGGTCACTTCCATCAAAGAAAATCATTACGTTATGTGCTCATACCCCAACTGCCCCTACTGTGATCATATTTGCCCACAAAGTGGTAAAGCAGTTAATGTTGCGAAGGAAATCATTTTAGTTTTAAATGACAGAAATTTTCTTGTGACTTTAAAAAGTGTTGTTTGTGATGGTAACGATGTAAACACCGGTTGGAAAAACGGTTAAAAAAAAAGAAAAATATCATTCGTTTACTTAAAACTTGTATTAGCATACCTCTTCAATGGTGTATTTGTTTGCTTCATTTAAATAAATGCCTCTCAGAGCAATTTTACTGCACTTGATTGTGATACATCTGGTCCTACTGCATTCAAAGGCATTCTTGGTGAACAACTATCTTTCGATGTTCATTTTCTACCGATAGTTAACTTTGTAAATTTCTACCGATAGTTGTCAGTGTAAATGGAGTGAACATTGAAATGCTTGATGACGTTATTCATGATCTCAGTAAAGATCATAAATACTTCCTTAAAACATGAAATTTTTGAAGCATGCAATGCTGTTATTCGAGAATTCCAATTCAAATGTAGAAAGGAAGAAGTGTGTCATAAATACTTCTCCCGGAAATCTCATTAATGCCAGGCGACTCACATTTGCAAATAGCCTGCTTCAGTTATACATGTTGACCGTAAAACCCACGAAAAGTCTGTTAAAAACTGTTGATTGCATCATCAAAGTTTTTTGCTTCTGCTTGTTTTTAATCAAGAAAAATTGGAAATGCGTTGAAGGCGAACGGAATTTTTTCATGATAATAAAATGTGTTTGGATTCTTAATCACCCTAATACAATAGAAATCACCCTAAAGTAATGCAAGTTAAAAGAAATTGCTATTTCGCTAGACCTGAAAGTGTTTTGTTGTCAGCCATAACGGATGTAGGCAAGAAAAAGCAGTCTATTCAGCAAAGAAAATTATTGCATGTAGAAAAATAGAGAATACTAACGGTGTATGTGTTTTTATCTACAAAAGATTTCTCTCAATTTTCATGCTTCCTCATATTTGGAAATGATCGACTGGTCAAATGCTGATATCTCTCCTTCTCCAATTTTATCTGAAGTGAAAAATGAAGGTATCTTAATCAATGTTAAAAATGGCACTCTTCAAGTTCCTAATATTTTATGTCATTCTCAAAATGTTAAACGTTTGGTCATTTATCTAGAGTATACAAAGTCTTATGAAAAAATAATCTATGAAAAACGTCATGGAATGCGAACTCAAAACGTAAATCCAAAATTAAACAGTTAAATAGACTTTATATAAGGATTTTGCATTTTAACATTCTTCTTTTGTATACAAGAGTAGCTTTTGATTTTTGCTTGGTGTTTCTATTTACTTTTAGGTGATATCTAGGCGAATAATAGTGGATCTCATAATCACATAATATAACCAAAAGCTGCCCTCTTTAAAGTAAATTCAAAAATGCTAATATTTTCTTTTTTCAACTTTTTCCACTAGTAAAGATGCAAAAATCAGAAAAATTAAAAATATGACCCACTCTACTGTACATGGGATATAAATTGCTTAAATCATGTAAATACGATAATATAAATCAGATACTATTCATTACATTTCTATATAATTTAAGTTACTCAACAAATTGGGTACTAATTCCTATTTTTTCACGTAATTTCTCTTAAATTTTTATAAGATTTCAGTAGTAATTTATTATTTAAAAATGCTTTTTAAATGTTAAGTGAGATATAGCCAAATATAAAATTTTCAAATATAATATTTTCAAATGCTCACAAGATACGGAAAGAAACATAGTTTGGTTTTAATAAACAATTTTTATATAGTATCAATCTTGCTATAAAACATTATAGCAAGCTAAAGATTGTCGAAGTAACAGTAAATGCAGAATCAATTAAAGAAAATTAGTAGCAGTAGAGACAGTATCAGCAAAAGATACACTTGTAAAAGTACTGTCAAAACTACTAGAAGTTGTAGTTGCAAGGCAAGCTAAAGATTAAATTAAAAAGTAAAATCCGTTTTAAAAAAATATCACTAAAATAATTCATAGAAAACACTGTTACTACAACACTGTTACTACAACACTGTTACTACAGTTATAACAAGCTTCTTTTTAATCTAGTTTGAAACTAAGAAATGCTTAAATAACATTTAAATAATTGCTTTAAAAATGCCAATACAAACTTTTTTAAAACAATCCAGCTATCTCTTTTTTATGCAAACTGATATATGAACATTATATAACAATATTTAATTTTAGGTACTATGTTCTTGAAAGATTTCAAAAGCAACCGAATTTGTCCCCCTCCCCCAGCCCCCACTTGTCTTTGACCATGTAATGTAATTCATATGCTTTTTACAATCTTTAACTAAAGATTGCAAAAAGTATCGATATCTTTTGGATTTAATTTGGTTCTATTCAGAACTTTAAATATTTGCACTTACAATTCACGATTTTAGTTAACTGATTGATGATATTGGATGAAAGTTACTGACAAAAAAAAACAGTTTATCTTCAAACGACAAAAGAAAATCATTTGTTTTATGTACCTTATGTAACAACAATTTTTCAACAAGAAATAACATTACAACAATTTTTATTTGTACAATTCAAAATTAAACATTTAAATTAAATTCTTGTCTTCTGTTTTCTTAAAGCCTGAATAGCTTTTTTAACTTTCGAAGAACATTGTCATCTTCCTCCACTTCTACAATTCAAATAAAAATACTAGAATTAATACAATTTTTTTAAATGAAACTAGTTTTCTCGCTATGAATCTTAAATAAATATTAACATACAAGTTTAAATGCAATTTTCGGTAAAACTTACCAGGCGCGCACACATTATTAACGCATCTAAGACCATAGTTACAAGGCGCATTTTCGGCACCTCCACACGATCCTCCTCTATTACTAGCACATTTTACACAACCACATTTATCACTGTAAGAATTACCTAACAACAAATTAATAAAAACTTTATAATTATATATATATATATATATATATATATATATATATATATATATATATATATATATATATATATATATATATATATATATATATATATAACTATCGATTACAATTAGCATAAAACATTTAGTTGTAAATTATATTTTGTATTTATTAAAATAAACAAGTATATGCATTTAAAAAAAAACAAACAACCTGGACAAGCTGCCGGACTGCATTTGCTAGGACAAGCGGCTTTTTTGTATTCGTTTTCTGTTGTTGCTAAAACTACTACACAACCAATAGTAAAAATACATAAGAGAAAGCTTTTCTTAAGAGCATACATTTTGTAAAATTTTTTACTGATAACTAAGCCTACGATAGCTGGAAACTTTGTTTGTCAAGTAAACTTTTTTTTAAGATTTTTTAAATTTATTTTGTTAGTTCTAATTCGTTTATTTTTATTAAATAAATAAATTAAATACAATGATACGATGGGAGATTTTTTAATTTCTTTTTTTGTATGTAATAAAATTGATATTTTTTCATTTTTTATACGAATGTTCAAAATATTAAAATAAATGATTCCGCAGATGAAACAGCATGGGGTAAGAAAAGCAAATGTTTCCTAGTTTGCTTATCTTTAGTCAAAATAACATTTTGTTATGATACAAAATTTTGTTAAACGCTGTTACCAATGCTTTCGCTTCTAAAATATGTATTATTTATTACTTAGTTTTTTTTTATTAATTTATTCTGGTTAACTCATTTTTTTAAATTTTGCATATATTGTAGTTTTTGTTGTTGATTTTTAAAAAATTATGAGCAATAAAATGTAAAGTCAAATAACATAAGAAAAGATAATAGCACAAGAAAGAGCAATACACAATAACAAACAAACAAACAAAAAAGAAAACCCAATAACGCAATAAAACGTATTTAAAATAATCAAGTTATTTATTACAGGTGCAACCAAAGTTTGAAATAAACATATAAATGTTTGGAGTTCGCTCCATATCTGGAAGTTAGCTATCTCAAACAACAAAAAATGTTCGATTTGTTCATGAGTTGAGTAATTTTTCTGAGAACCATTTATATACTTATGTCAAATAATGATACTTTGTAAAAAATACGATGATTGGAGCCTGGGAACAAAAAAAGCCCCAAACGTCAGAGCTTTTTAAATTTCATAAAACAGTCTTTTAATGTTCAAAATTATTTGAACGCTATTAGCTAATTAGTTGAATCATATAAAGTTTGAACCCCCTAAATTTGAGTAAGGTTCAAACTTTACAAGATTCAACTGAAAATGCAATTATTGAACTAGCCAACCAAATAACTGATAGTTTTAACTAAAAAAATTTACTCTGGAAGTGTTTATCGATTTATCTAAGACGTTTGAAACCGTTGATCACTGTATTATCATAGAAAAGCTTTAAGGGGCAAAAAATAAAGAATATTATCGATAAAAAGATACTGAAAGGTGATCTATGGTTGGAAGTGAAACATTAATTCCCGAAGTTTGAAATGTTTTTACAATTTATTCCGACGTTCTAAGCTCCGCAATATTGTACGAATCGTTAAGAATAAATCAAACGTTTTAAGCGTTTTAAACGTTTTTAATAAAATTAAGATTTAAAACGAAAAAATAAACACATTTGGGAAATTTTTTCACAAAAGTTCTCTAATAAAATTCATTCCATTTTTAAATAGTGAAATGAGGTTAAATTTTAGGAGGTCAAATTAAGCAATGGAGTTACCGCAATTTAAATACGGTGACGTGGTAAACTTCGATTACTAGATAAGAATTCGGGGGCGCTCAGTTACAAATGTGATATTTAATTAGGTGAGTGCGATACTGTCATTTTTATAGATCCAATTGCTGGGCAATTTATTGTGAATTGGTTTTTATCGAAAAATTGAGTGCAATTGTATGCAATTTGTTATCACTTTTTATCGCATAATCTAAAATCGTTTTCTGCTAACCACCAATGCGATAATGCCAATGCTTAGTTAAAATGACGAAAATGTAAACTAACTTTTTTTATTGCAGTAAAAATTTTACTACTCTAATAAACATTTTTCTCGTCGAAAATAGAAATAAGATAACTGAATGAATAAATAATTGAATAAATATGAGATAAAATACATAAATAGATACTTAGAATTATAATCATAACAAAAACTTTTATTTTATCTTAATCATATAATTTATGCTAATATATTCTGACGTAGCATTAAACATAAAGCATAAAAATAAAATATCCCGGCGGAATACAAGAATATCCCGACGGAATACACAACTGATCAACTGATGCTCTATAACCTTAAGACAAAATATGGCATTAAATTTTTTTTCAACTACTATATACACTCTTAGTTAAAAGATATAAAACAGAAAACCATTAAAAATAAATAAAACTGCTATTTAAAGAAGTTTAAAAAAGTAAGTAATTGGTTTAAGTTAAACATCTTTCTCTGAACGTTGAAAAACCACAATATACCTTGTTCAATAAAAAACACAAGAGGAAAACCTTCCTCTACAATAATCAGAACTTATTATAAATAAAGAACAAATCAAAAAGCAAGGTTTTATAAAAATTTAGTTCTTGTTGGTGAACATTTATAATGGATTCCACAATTGTTAATTTTAAAAAAATGTATTCTCTATCTAGAATTTTCTTTAAAAAAAAAAGGCACGTTCCCTCCTGCTCCCCCCCCCCCCCCCGTGTCGTCGGCACTGATTTGAAAAGAAGAAATCGCGATAAGACCTAAAGGATTTCATGTGGCATCTAAAATAAATAAATAAATAAAAGTATGTAAGTATAACAACCCTCTGAAATCTTTAAAGTAAATTTAATAAAATATAAATTAGAAGTACTTTTTAAGATTAAATTAAATCACATATATATCAAACCACATATAAATAAAAAAATAAATAAAATTAGCATGTTTATTCTTCCCCCCCAAAAAAATTTTCTTGATTTTTTGCCCATAACATTTTTCTAGAAAAAGCATATTCAATTTTAAAATAAGAGTCTTGAACGTTATGATGTTTTTTACCAGACTTAAAATGCACAGCTACAATCAGTTGATGATGAAACTTATATATTAAAAATAGGAAAATAGTATTGTAAAAAAAAAAAACACGAAATTAACTTGAGAAGTTTAGATTTAAATACTAAGCTATACGATAGATAAGATATGATACGATAGATAAGATTTGATACGATACGATAGATAAGCAATAATAATACTACGAATCACATAAGAAAAAAATCACTCTAGGAAACCGTAAAAAGTCAAAACATTGGTAAGGAAGGAGGCGTGAACTTCCTATTTTAATGCTCTTCCGCGGTGCTCTGGCTTGTTTTAAGCAAAAAAGTTATTACAGAAAAATCAGGTGAATTTTTTTTTTTTTTTTTTTTTGAATGAGCTAGTAGTTTTAGTGTAATAAAATTTTTCTATTTTATAAAAACCATAATTAATAATAAAAATCACAATTAATAAATAAAAAACATTAATAATACATTGGTTGAGACTAGTATACTATACGAATATCGTTTTTATTTATAAGTTTGTACATATGTTGTTTAAATTAACTTAGGGGAAAAAGGAGTAAGATACCGAATGGGGCAAAATGGCTTTTCAAATAGCAACTCAACAAAAATACTTAAAAATGGGTGAAAACGAAACTATATATACATTTTGTATTTTAAACGTTAAATGGTTTTTTTAAATATTAATAACGCAATTACATACGCATAAGTTTAGTTTTTCGCTTCAAAAAAAGATACTTTACTTTCGGTTATTCATAACGAATGGTGTCCTTCGTGTGTAACTTTTTTGAGAATATTTTTTTTCAACGCGTGTTTATTTTGTGTTTTTTTATTTAGATTAAGTGGTGGTTTTTAAATTTTTATAAAATTGAAGTCAGAAATCTCATAATAAGTCATCTTGCCCAGGTCACGTTAATAGATGACATATTTATGAACTTATGAACTATTTTAATTTTTATTTCAAGTTTTTCTACTTTTAAACTAAAAATTCATGCAGGCAATAAATCATTATGATAAAATGAACATACTGACAAAGTATTACTTCTTCATGACTGATATTTTTCCAATAACTATTAATTGATAACATTTTAACAACCAATTTTTTTAATAAGTCGCTAAAAAAGGGAATTATAAAAACCGATGTTTCCGATCACTTCCCGATTATTTTTTTTCTATATGTGTTAATTTAAAAAAAGAAAAGCAAGGAAAGGTTTTAATAAAAAAACGGCTTATCAAAAATAATAATTTAAATTCTTTCAGAGAACAATTATCTTTTATAGATTGGGGTTATATTAACTTTAATGATAATATCAACCTAATCTACGACAATTTTTCAAAACTTTTTACCAAGCGTATGATTCCAATTTTTCTTTAATTAAAATAGTTTTAAGTGATAAAGAAATTTCATCTCCTTGGATTACTAAAGATCTCAGAAAATCGTCAAAAATTAAGCAGAAGCTATACATTAAATGCTTATATTCAGAAAAATATAAACAAAATTATAAAACTTATAACAAATTATTTGAAAAGCTTCGCAAAAATGCAAAAAAAAAAACTACAATTTAAACTTGCTTAATAAATATAAGCACAACTCAAAACGCGTCGGGCAAATCATTAAGGAGGTGTCTGGAAAACTTGAACCAAATAAAAGTTTACTCGCAAATTTTATACAAATTGACAACAAATTAATAAATGAATCAAATGATATTGCATTTGAATTTAACAAGTTTTTCTCCAGTAACGGGACAAAATTAAGCGATAGTATTTCATTCATTTAAAACAAATCTGTTGATGAGTTCGAAACATCAATAAGCTCTTATCTAAATTTTACTGAGTTAGCTTTTAATGAATTTGAGGTTGCTTTTAAGTCATTAAAACGAAATAAAGCTACTGGGTATGATGATATTAACACAAATATTGTGATTGATTCCTACAATGTTATAAAAAATATTCTTTATAAAATCTTCAGAGTATCCATCGCACAAAGGTCTTTCCCAGATAAACTAAAAATAGAGAAAGTAACTCCAATCTTTAACACAGGGGATCGTACATTTATAACAAATTATAGCCCTGTTTCAGTTCTTTCAGTTTTTTCAAAAATTTTAGAAAGAATAAAGTACAACCAAATCTACTCTTATCTTGTTGAAAAAAAAATTCTTTACGAAAACCAATTTGGTTTCAAAAAAATAATTCAACCAAGCATGCCATTCTTCAACTTACGCGCAGTATAACTGACTCATTTAAAGACTCTTGTTTTACACTAGGAGTGTTTATTGATTTGTCCAAGGCATTTGATACCGTCAATTAGGGACTTTCGCACCGTGCGGTTGTATGACTTGCACCGTGCAAATGTATGACTT